AAAAAAATTACAATCTATCCCAAGGGCTCAATGGAAAGTAGATGTCTAGAAAAGAATGATGGAATATATGTATGAATATGTTGGGTACAACATATTGGACCGGACTGTATGGACTGTAACAAGAGTTGTAAGAGCCCCCAATAAAATGATTAAGAAAAAAAAAGGAAACTACTAGAAGGTCAGTTTTTAAATTTTTGATAGTTAAAGCCAGATTTCATAGATAACTTCTTGTAAAAAATGTTAGATTTTTGGTAACTTCTTCCCGTTAGAAAGAACCTAACCAGAGAGTCAGAGTTTCACTTGGCAGTTGTCCTAGCCCTTCCAAAAAGATGTGTTAATCAAACCCAGGAATGTCATGATACAACGTGCTCTTAAATAGGCTCCAATATCCTGGTTACGGGATAATTGCATGCCATTTGCTCATCGGCTCTGCACAATCAGATCCTGGCAATCTTGGGGAAGTGAAGCTCTATCTAAAATCCCCACCTCCTAGCATATGAGTGAGGAGCCTCGGTAGCATAATCCTTAGGTGTTGGGCTGTTAACCACAAGGTCAGCAGTTCGAAATCACCAGCAGCTTCTTGGGAGAAAGACCAGGCTTTCTACTCCCACAAAGAGTTACAATCTCAGAAACCTATGGGGACAGTTCTACCCTGTCCTATAGGGTCATCATTGAGTCAGCATCAACGTGGCCACAGTGAGTTCTTAAGTGAGGATATTAATGACGTCTCCTGTAAACTTACATAAATCTTATGACTTTATTCCTGTGCACTTAAATATGATAACGTTTGCTCAGGTATGGTTCAAAGGACAGCTGCACTGTCCGGTAAGGTAGCTGCTAGCCACATGTGACGATTAAACTTAATTTTAAGTCAAATGCAATTAAATGAAGAATTTAGATGTTTGGTCACAAGGAGGTTTCAACTTCTCCATAGTCACATATTAGAGGTTAGCATCATGGACAGCACACATTAGAGCACTTTGTTGTCGTTATTTCACAGAAAGCTTGATTGGACAGCTCTGGTCTGGAGAATCATCACGACCAGTGGAAGAGGCACCCCAGAGAGCTCCCACTGATGACCGTCACGAAGCTCCTGATTGACCGTAAGGGTGACGGCGATAGCGAGGAGGACCACGAGCACTCCAGGAATACTCAGACTACTACCAGGTACTTGCTTTGCTTTTTACAATAAGACAGGCATGTTCTAATCTCTTACTATCAACATTGTGTCTGAGGGATTGTTATTATTATTATCTTACAATTGCGGAAGTTGAGGATTTGCAAATATTCAAGGTCCGTATAATTAGTATATACTAGAGTTTGGTTCAAAGTCATCTATTGGATATCAAAGCGCATTCTTTATGTCACTCTACCATGAATTCTCTCATAGTTGACAGAAGAGTCAACATAACTTATGGAAGATGAAATTTGATATATTAGCATTAGGATATTTTTAGCCTACAATTATTTGCAGCACAAACAGATCAAGATAAGGTAACTGAACCCTTGCTTTTTTAATAAAAGGAGAGACACGAAAGGTTATAGTCATATATCATGGCCCTGC